TTGAGTTTGTGGATCAGTGGGACGTCTGGGACCCTACCAAATGCTTTTGAGAACTCGAAAAATACGGCATCCGATATGGGTCCTTCGTCCTTGGCCTGGGTTAAGCTGTCCATAAACACGAGCATGTTTGTCACGCAAGAGCCAAGGCTCTTCTCCCGCACGCTATTGGCTCAAAGACGGGATGCTCGCCGGTGCAGCACCAGTTCGAGCTGTGATTGGCCGAAATCCCGAACAGCAGCTAATCGTGATCCAGTTTCTGCCGTCGCTAACGGTGCATCAGAATGCGTCAGAATTTTCAAAATGCTGTCACTGTACACACTTTATGAACGACGTCGTATATGGGTGTTTTCGACGCCGCCCAGTATTCGCACAATGGAATTGAATGTTCAAAAGCTAGGACGTGTCCCTGATGGACTAATGCAATCGGGCAATTGAGTTTAGAGCACAAGCCCAAACTTTTGAACCACATTAGGCATCTCAGGTGCTCTGAGACGTCAAAGGCATGATTGCTTCAATGCACGACGAATTTCGGTGAGCTGCAAAAACATGAATGTGGACCAAAGTGGTTTCTGGCTTGAGCACATGCAAAAAATGCAACATTTAAGCGTAAAAAGTTTCAGTACACTCGTAAAGATTTTGCAGCTGAGAGNATGATTGCTTCAATGCACGACGAATTTCGGTGAGCTGCAGAAACATGAATGTGGACTAAAGTGGTTTCTGGCTTGAGCACATATGCAAAAAATGCAACATTTAAGCGCAAAAAGTTTCACTACACTCGTAAAGATTTTGCAGCTGAGAGCATTGTGTGGTTAATAGGCCCCGTTTTGACCTGGTTTTGTGCGCTACATGGTCACACTGGGTCAATCCTCTGTTACTTCAGTTAGATGTCTGCAGCAATCAATTCCAGTGATTCAAAGAATCGCTAGAACAAGCACGGTCGGAAACAGAGCAGATTTTCCACAAGTTTCTGGCATTACTGTAAATGATATTTAACCAGTCATTGCCGGCTTAGGCACCGTACATAGTTCAGGTGCAATTGTCGTCGCCACAAAGAAGATTTATGTCTATCTCAGATCCTGCAGCCACCAGCATAATACCGCGCAGTTCAAAAAACGTGATCCAACTCAGCATCTGTGAAATTTAAAGTGTAATTGGTTTCCTCAAGGAAGTTTGTCAGGTTTTGTATCAGCAACATCCCGGTTCGTTTGCAGCTTGAAACGAGCTCCGACATCACGTTGCTGATTTACCGAACACGGGAACGAATTGATAAGTTGCGTGTTAACACTATGCCCATAGTTCGTTTTAAAGTAAGTCGACATTGATTGGCAAGATCGACTGCTCCGTAAGCTTCAATGGTATGGGCAGTTGCGAAATGCGTTTGACAGGGGCCTGGGATAGTCCCTAGCTCCGTTACAGAGAGATTCTGTTGTGCAGATGGGTGGTGCAATAAGAGAAAACAGACACATGAAAACTGATGGATAAACAGAGGCTTGTTTAATTTGTGGGGATCACCACAATTTGGTAGGTAGTATGAACTTAGGAGAGAGGGTCGCCAGTCCCCGAAGCACTGCCGTCAGCTTCACTCGGCAATTGCCGCATGGCGAAAAACCTGTAGGTTCCAACTTTAAATGCAAATAATAAATGGGTAGAAGTTTACCACTTTTAACTCATTTATCCTATGAATCCATTTGCCCACACCCAGGAGCAGAGGAGAAAATCGCGTGTGATATGTTTGACTGACCAACTGGACCTTGTGCAGTGCACATACAACTTAGACGAACGTGGCAATACTTTTGCACGTCGACGTAAGTCATCGGCTACGCAGAGTATCTTCAAGCCATTCAGTTTATATTTTACCGGATGAAAGCTCACTTTTCCAACAATATTCATTGCGTTGTCAGACAAGTTCAACGTTGCAAATACAAGCAGAACACAACGGTGCCGCTTTTATGGATTCCCTCATTTGAGGGCCGGTCTCAGAACAACCGTTGATGAGGAATGCACCAGAGCTACTAGAGGCGATGCGGGTAAATGGACGAACCATAGTGAAAAATCACAGGGCGATCCTCCCTGGAAGGAGTATTCGAACACCACACGAAGTTTCCGAACATCGTGCGTGCTATCAAATCTGCATCAGGGCAATCCACGAAACGGTCATAACTGTGGCTTGTGTCTCAATAACAAAACCCAGGTACGGGCTACTTATATCCCACCGGGAGGCGCCAGACTTGTAAAAAACAGCCCGATCAGTTTGAACAGGCAGCCGAAAAACAGCCGTTGGAAAAGATAGCTCGTGGAAGAGGTAAATGAAATGAAAGCTACCACTT